GAAAACATACTCGCCGACGCCATTAGTCGACAACCGGACCTAATGAAAGGAGTAGAACCCAATAAAGATGCTATCCTCAAACCACAAGGATGCAATATCACCATCAATAAAGCCCTCAATCTTACGGAACATGTTGTGAAAGATGAGCTCAAAGGAAAAATTATGCAAAGTTATCAACACAACGCCATTGCACAACAAGTGCTAAAACAAGCTCAAGATCCCCCCCAACATTTTGAACTTCACGATAGAATCATTCTATTTTGTAACGCTTTCTATATTCCCTCGAAGAAACTCCAAACAGAAATCATCTCTCAACATCACAACTCCCCCGCTCACGGCTACTTAGGAGTAGATCGTACTTAGGAACTCCTGACAAAATCGTATTACTAGCCTAACATGAGAAAACATATCAAAGAATACATTAAAACTTGCGATATGTGCTGTCGAAATAAGCCTAATCAACATAAGCCCTACAGAACTCTCCAACTCCACGACGTATCCTGTGCACCTTTTGAAGTTATTACCTATGACTTTATTCAAGGAATGCAACCCTCACGAGACCCACTTACCAATTTCATCTTTAACGAAATCCTAGTTATCACCTGCAAATTCTCGAAAACCGCTATCTTCATACCATGGCATGAAAAGTTCAGAACAACCAAATTTCAACATGTCTACCTTCAACATGTCTTTTCCAAATACGGAATCCAACACAAACACATCTGCGACCAAAATCGACTCTTTCAGAGCAAATATTGGCAATCTGTTATGAACCAAACTGGCACCAAACTGAATATTACTTCTAAAGCACATCCTCAGATGGATGATACTTTAGAACATCTGATTCAGACCCTCAAAATATATCTCCGATGTTTTGTGAATTATGCGCAGATAAATTGGATATTTCTCTTCTCTTCTGCCGAATTTGCATACAATACTTTTCAACACTTAATCATGAAGCTATCGCCATACAAAATCTTACGTAAATAGACTCCAAAAGCCTTTTTACTTCCCCTCCGACCCAAAAAAGTCATACCTAATGCTGAAGAATATATGGAAAAAATGAAGAATCTTTATAGTATCCTTAGGAAAGACCTTCAATTTTCTTAAGAACAAATGACTTATTACTATGATAAAAAGCATCTAGAAGCTCCTTTATTAAAAGAAGAAGATAAAGCATATCTGCTTGCACGAAATTTGAAAACCAAGCGCCCTAAAAAACTTAATTTTCAGAAATACGGCCCCTACACAATTAAAAAACAATTGAATAAACACCAATACGAATTGGACATACCTGGACCCTTACGAATTCATCGCACATTTCATGTTTCTCTCTTAGAACCCACTCCACCTGGACTACGGAAAGACCTAGAAGACATAGAAATCGAATACGACAACTACACCAAATACGACGTCAAAAAGATCCTCGAAGAACCCAATGAGAATAACGAGTATCTTGTTCGATGGTTTCTACCTTATAGCCCAGAAGACGACTTTTGGTAGCCAGAGGAAAACATCTCCCCAGAACTCATCCAGTCCTATCTAAAGCAACCCGGAATGCTCGCTCAGCAGGGCAACGCAGCGCCAAAGAGAAGACATGAACGACCTAAAAAGAATGTCGATTAACAAGAAGCGAAAATCACAATAACATTCATGGCTTGCATACACCTAACAGCACCCCTTACTACAAATACACCCCCTTATGCACCACTGGTGTAACCAGTTTAAATCAACCTTTTTAGCCTCCCAGCATCAAAAAAGCTCATTTAGAACTTCTCATTGAGCAGGCCACACCAACAGAAAGGCACGCAACAAATAAATCCCCCTAGACAAAAAAACGATATTAGGAGTTAGAGACTCCGCGAACGCAAGAAGAAACTCTCGACAAGGCATTTTGTTTGAAATTGAAAAGAGTTACGAATACAAGAAGGAATCAAGCAAGATTGTTTTAAACATCCCCATAAATACCCTCTATAAAATTTTCTATCGAAAACTCTTCCCCCCTTCGAAAGAACGTGAAAGGATTTCCTATGTCTACAGAACCCGCAAAATAACTTAAAGGTTCTATGGCAGCCTCCAGGACCTTCTTTGGAATCGCCTCCCCATTATCTACCCACTCAGGACCTAAATCTCACATGTTGCTTCTGAGATAATTCAATTGTTCTTGTATACCTGGATCTCCCCCATCAACTTCCTCTAATGGATCTTCTTCCATGAGTAAAGCTTCTGTATGCGCTAAGCTCTTACGATGCTTTTCAGTAATAATGGATAATTCTTGTTGATAACGCTTCAACTTTGCTGCTGCCTTGTGGAACTTGGCAAGAGATACTGATAACTTATTTTGACTTTTCGTTAATTTGTTTTGATTATCTTGGACTGTTTACTGGATATTTTCGAGCTTTTCTATAATTTTATGAAGCTGTTAAGTTTTCGAAATTCTTATTTCAGAAATCCGTGCTATTGGCAAATATATTAGCATGCACCCGTAGAAGGATCTATGATAAAAACACTCACATGGAATCGCATTGTATTTTCCCTTTCTATGCTTGATGTATATGGAATAACTTTTAAAGTCCTTTATCATCTTATATGAATGATTGCTCTGCTTATAAAACAAATATGTTTCTGCTGCTATAACACCAAAATATTCGAAATCTTCAAGAACTTGATAAACCTACTTTTTCCAAAACTCGTTAGCCATTTTATTTTCTTTTCAATGTTTCTAAACTCCCTTTCTGAACATAGCAAGTATAAAAGATGTGTTGATTGTGTACTTTAAAAAATGTTTAATAGTTTAAGTTTGATTTCATTCTTATTGCTTCAAACTGATATTTTTATATATGTATCTACTTATATAATCTTGTACGGCACAGAATTGTACTACAATTTTGTTTCCATAAAAAACCAACAAAACTATAACGGTAGTATTCCCTTATGGGAATTTCCGTGTTAGAAAATCCCCTATTTAATTCTCTCGTACGGTATTTTTCCCGTATACTATTTTGTTCCACGCGAAATTCCCCTTACAAACCCAACACCCTATATGGACTATTTCCCCATCTACGAGAAAATCCCGCACAAGAATTTTATATAACAAAGTTTCTTTTAAAAAAGGAGATAATGTTACAGCCCAGCTATATTGATTAATTTGATTAAGAAATATATCTTGACACGACAAATATGCTTTTTGTTTCTACCTCTCTTTATCTTACAAGAATGTTTTTAGTTATAA